TAACAGATTAACATTCCTCCTCCTGGTGTTGAGTAAAATATAGAAAAACTGGGGATTAAAGTAGTTGGAAATGAAAGGGGTATTTATCTGTTAAACAGACTCCTTTCAGAGAGAGTCCATAGAGTTAGAGTGATCTATGTAGACTGATAAGTTCTATGGAAATAAGCCCTTTATTTCAGAAAGAACATCATCATGTGTGTTTGAAAATAATACATCTTCAAAAAGTAAATATTTCAGGTAGTCAAAATTTTCTGATAATTACTGCTTTTTGCAAGTAGGAGGCTTCATGAACTGTTACATGTATGTTCTGTTCCTGTCAGTACCTATCAGTGTGAGTAGTCACGATGTGTATGAGACAATATGGACAACGTAACTCATGATACTCTCTCCTAGATTCAGTGTTATTATTTATTTATTTATTTATTTATTTATTTATTTATTTATTTATTTATACAATCATAACTCACATTGGTTTCTAAAANTAGATTACTGATGACATGATGCGAGAAGGAAAAGAGGATGTTCAATATTGATAAATGGTAAATAGGTTTTTCACAGTCTTGACGTAAATATAGTGAAAAAAAAAGGAAAATGTTATTCTGAAGAGAGTTAACACATTTTTTGCTAGAGGGTTGATGCATCATACCTTCTAGGAAATATCAGGCGGTATGGCCTGGTTAATATTTAATTGTACTGAAAACTCTTGATAAAAGAAAAAGTGACAAAAGCTATTAGTGTTCTGAAATGCATATAGCTAATGGACTTGTTCTGCAGTAACCTCTTGTTCATCACTCATGCAGAGAGCAAATAAATATCAAGCTAAAATACCAGTGATATGCATACTGTATTATTTTATCCTGTGTAACAGTTAGACCCCATTTCCAGAGATTAGATCGATCTACTTTAGATCGACCTAACTCCCTGGGGGTTCACGCTAAATAGCTGTCAGCTGAGCGGACACGAAAGTTAATTACCCCCTTACAGCTTGTAGTAGGCGGGATGGACATTTAAGCCGGATTATCTGACAGTAATCTAGTGAGACTCCCCGCAGGGATAGATCGATCTAAAAGCTCTGGGAATACAGCCTTAGTGTATCCAGTAAACCTTTAAAAGAGTGATGTAAGTATAGATATTTTCCTTATAAAAATTCATTCCACTTACATTAACATGGTCTACTACAAATTTGTTATAATACATGTATCAGAGCAATAAAAATTTTCAGGCTCGAAACTTGTCCCAAATTTCAACTTACTAATAAGAACAAATAACCCTGTGCCATTCTGTGACTTCAGACACAGAAGATCCCCAGGCGTTCTATGACTACAGGAAGAGAGGGTTTGGTGGGAGCAGTAATGGAGAAATTTACTGGTCCATTGATGAGCAAGAGAGCGAGTTCACTCAATGTAAGTATTTATAAAGAAGAGCCCAGAAGATGAGAGGCACAGTGCGATAATGACTCAATCATTTCAACTGGGAAATAGTGAATTTTACAGATACTGTATTTTTAAATCAATAAATTCTAAAAATTAGAACATTCCAATCGAGTGATCGCAAGAAGATTAAAAAGCAACCTACCTAATAGCTCTATTAGTTAAAGCATCAAAATGCTTCATAGAAATGTTTTATTTATGACTCAGTAATTATGTGTCTGAAAACTTGATAATATTTCCTGGTTGAAATGATTGAGGCATTTCAGTAGTATGTTTCCATACTGCTATTAATTGGAGAGGATGAGTGAAACATTAAAGACGGTGTCTTGAGGGGGGGGGGGTACAATGTGGTCAAGATCAACCAATTGTTTAAAAAATTGGGGCAAAAAAAAGCTTGACACATGAATTTTGACAACACACACACACACACACACAATAAGTAAAAAGGATAAATAAATAAAAACAGAACTGTACCTCTGTATCTTTGCTCTTTACCCTGATACAGGTAAAGATAGAGATAACTGGCTGCTGATGACCTTCCTGTTCTACTTTTTTCATTGTACTTGTTAACTAAGTACTACCTGTGAACCTCAGGTGTCACAGTGTACTAAACTTGTACTTAAACTCATATAGTACTAGTAATGGTAATGATCATGATGACAACAACAAAACAACAACAAAAATAATAATAATATTAATATTAATAATAATGATAATTTTATTCTCATTCTAAATAGAACATAATTATTTTTGCTGGCTCTCTCATGTTTTTATGCAGAAAATCATATTATGCTATCAATAAAATCTTACAAAATACATTAAATTTAAGCGTAAATATTTTTTCTTCAAGTGTTAAAATCATGCTATTTCATTATTAATATTTTAATATTAATAATTGCATTAGTTTTGGGTGTCCAGAGGATATCGTCCATAAAATTAAATCAGTGAAACCTTACTAGTAATATGCAAGTCAAGTTGGATAGAGTCCAGTATAAAGCCAGTCGTTTGTCACCTTTTTTGTATGTGTTAATTAAATTTTTGCATTCTCAACAGTGAGAGACTCTGGGAATTTGAAGGGATAAAGCTGATCCTTTCTCAGGAAATGACACAGTCCTTGGTTCTTGATAACTCCGTCCTCTTTTGGTAGAAAGCTAAATAATTTCTTAGAATTATTCTTTGCGTGGAAAATAGCATTTTAATTAAAAGATGGCATAAAAAGGATTCTGTTTGATCAACTTATGCCCCATGATCAAATTATGTAGCACTTGATATTCATTAGACATTATATTTATAATTACCAGTACAAAAGCAACTGTTTATTTCTTAACCAGTGTGGAAATTTTAAACCTAGGCAAGTAGCATGCATGGTGTCAGAACAAATGTGATTTCCATGACAAATACAATTGTTACAATGTTATGTCCCCCAAAGAGATAATAAGACATATGAATTTAGAATCTGAAATCTAGTATGTTTCTCTTTCCCATCAGACTAACAGCTCACTGTAGAAATCTAACAAGTTATTGTGTACGTGGTGAATTTCCTCTCTATGGTTTATGTGATCTCAATCTGAGTAACAGAGTTACGTCTTTTTGCTATAAATATTTCTTTTAAGCCTAATGTTGTGTAAACCATTTGCATGGAATGTCCCGAGGTGGATGTTTTTAGAGCTGGTCTGATTCAGAATTGCTTCTACGCTAGATTTTTTTTTTTTTAGTCTGTGTGAACTTTTAAAGCAGAGTATAATTTGTAAATAAATACAATTCTCTACTAGAAGGTGCAAGTATATCTTCCATACCATTTTATAAAGTGTAAAAGTTTCTTGATAGAAAATGATACAGATAATTCTGCTTAGCAAATAGACCAAAGCATGCATGCTGCATCTGCACATGGACGCACACATAAGTACACATATGCACACACACACACACACACACATGAGCACGTTTATTGCGGTTGAATCTCTTATGTGATGAACAATTTGAAACTATATATATATATTGAGTTGTCAATCTCCCAAATTGAACTGGTCCACACATATTTAGCTACTGCAAGCATCTCTCACCAAATGTGAATAGGATCTTAAGCCAGACTCTTTGCTGTCATTGCATGCACGTCTTAATAACACAGTGCCAGTATAGTCAGAAAAACAATAAGTCATATTTATTTAATTGCTGCTTACTTAGTACAGATGTCTATGTGATGGTGTGTTCTAATGGGATTGGGAGTCTGGGTAAACACCTACTAGTACAGATTTTGCTCTCACTTGACAGTAACCAAAACATTAATACTTGTAGAAAATTTGATTCACTCTAGAATGAGTTTGCCATTAAATAAGTGAGAAAAATGGTGTGTGTGTGTGTGTGTGTGTTTGTGTGCGTGTGTGCATGTGTGCATGTGTGTGTGTGTGTGTGTGTTTGTGCACATGTATGTGAGTGTGTGTGTCTGTGTTTATTCCCCTGGGCCAATTTGCTCCCTGACTTAAATTGTTAAAGTGTGTTGGGCTGAGCTTCTTCCCTACTGTACACCCAACCTCACTCCAAACTCCCACATCTTTCAACAACTAACCAGATTATTTGAGCCTAATTTGATATACAGTTTGAGCCTTATTTAATATACAACTTGATCAGTCACACATTTGGCAAAGTATAAAATAATATTTCACATTTCCAATAGATTGATTAGAATAAGCTTTTAGTGTATCTGGCAGAAACTTATTCTGTTAGAGTGCACCGAGCATACTAGTAGGTGGGTATGAAACATTAAATGGTGCTATATATGTACACAGTCGTCAGTTAAAGGCTTTCTTCTGTACATTCCCTACAAAGATCTTCATCTCCATACATGATGACATGTTCTCTTATATAGATAATGGCCACATAGCTATTAAGGTTGCCCATTGAACGATAATAGTTCTCTGTCTCATGTTAGTACTTCTTACCATCATGCCTAGGTTATCTTCCTGGCTAATAACTGTTTGATGATAATTATAAGATGTTCATTGCCAGAGGATTGCTGAAGTGTGTATTTCTGCTTTGCACTGAAGTAGTTGTAATGAATTTATTTTTGTTTGATTAAAGGGATAAGAACTCTTCGTGTGAGGTCTATATTTCACAATAAAAACATTGTGAATAACTCAAAGAAATATAATATATTCTGTTTTACCACAAAAACAGCAGTTATAGCTATTATTCTGATATCTGAGCTTGTCTTTAGACCACTTGACCTCCATTGAAGGCTATACTCTGTTAAAATCTCTTAAGAGATTTTAACAAAAAACCAAACTTTTTAGAAAAAAACCAGGGACTAATTTTGAATGTAAAAATGGATTCATTAACCATTGGTAAGTATGGGAAAATTGTTGTTTACTCAAGGAAAATTCATTTTTTGGCCGAAACGAAGAGTTATTATCCCTTTAATTACTTTATTAAATACTAAGATATATGTAACTGTAAAGAGACCTGTGATGTTGATTTTGGCACATAATACTCTCTTGCATGTGATTGCCCACTGACACATACACGCACACACACACATTATTGTATGTAACAGGCTATGAATTGTTATTTCAGTGGAGACCAAGGTATGTCTGAAGTATTACCATGGTCCTAGCTGTACACTGAGAGCTGCCACGCCCACCATTACAGTCCACAACCCTGCTGCTGCAGCACAGGTCAGTGGGGAAATGATAGTCGTCTTCTTTGTCTTCTTTTTCTTCTTCTTCTTTTTCTTTGTCTCCTTCTTTTTGTTATTCTTTACTTCTTCTTTTCCTTTTTCTCTTTCTTTTCCTTCTTCTTCTTTTTTCTTGCTCTTCTTCTTCTTGTTATTATTTTACAAGTGTTCTAGTCTATATTTGATTTGTTTGCTGACTGAAAACACTTCAGTTCACTCTGTGACATTAAACACTTACTCCACACCAATAACTGGCAAAAATTGTGGCATGTGCAGGCCTGTAGTAGAGGGGGGGGGGGGGGGGGGGGTGTTCAAAAGCACCCTCCTTTTTGCTGGGAAGAGGTCCACGCTGGGTAAATTTGATCTAGGTAAACTTCGGTTTCATGACAAAAGGTCCACATTTTCAGAAAAGTAACGCCCCTTTTCCCATTGCTAGCTATGCGCTTAATATGTTTAAGTTTGTTCAGTTCCTGGCCACTATTTCTGCATTAGGCCAGTTGGTTCTTAGCAGTGCCTTGGCTTCAGAATTGCCAGTAGAGTCTAAAGTTTATGAACATTTATTGTTTCACAACCCCTTTAAGGATCACACGAAGGACCAAACTGTGGTGACATATAGTTGAGTGAGTGTACAGAATTGAAAGGGTCTTATTCCATTAATTGGTGGGATCTTGGACCAGTATAGCATAATCAAATTCGCAAAGTCAGCTATTTCTGGTCTTAAGCAGTCTAACGGGCCTTATACATCAATGTGAGGTGGACTTCACATTGCATTTCAGTGGTTAAGATAGCAATTATAGGTGGCCTGTGGTACTTTACACTGTGAAATATGGTTCTTAAGATCACTTGAGGTCATTAAGATGAGATTTATTGTCACAGAGTTGTGATCTATGGATATTTGTGTCTCAAATGTTGCCCCATAGCATCTTTGGTCATTTTGGATCTCTTATATATCTTACATAGAGAGATGAAAAAAACAAAGGAGAGATGTATAGATTGTGGAGATTATGGGGGATGGGGGAGGGGGAGGTAAAATTATATTATACTCTACTATATCAGTAGTACAGAGAAAGTTGACATAGTCATTGAATTTTTTCTTTTTGGAAAAAGACATCATTCAAGAATAAACGATAATTTCTTTTTTTGGCTGAATTGGCAAGAGCATGTTGTTCTTGAGAAAACAAAGGTTTCAATAATATGACCAATTTAACATTGACATCTGTGGTAACTGCTTATTAAATTCAAACAAATTTTTAAAATTGTTTTGCCCAGATTTCTGCAAAAGTTCTGAAAAGTTCATCGGTCAGATGTCAGAAAGTACTGTGTAACATTTTTTATGAGTAATAATTTTATAAATCTTGGGAAGGAATGAAATAAAGTTGAAGTGAGGCATTTGAAAATTTTAAGGAACTGATATTGATGCTTTCCCACTAAGACCAGCCAAGAGTGCGTTTGTTGAGAGCAGTGACCCTTGGATTATGGTAGATGTGACAGGTGCTTCTGTCACAATCTATACCAGCCAGTGATTTGACACTGAACTTTTGAGTGAAATAGATAATATTGCATCATTCTGTTTTTTTTTATTGATCAAGTACATTTAGCCAGACCACACACGTTTGCCATAGAAATTTGACTCCCCCCTCTCTCTCTCTGTGTGTGTGTGTGTGTGTGTGTGTGAGAGAGAGAGAGAGAGAGAGAGAGAGAGAGAGAGAGGGTGTACACAGTGTATAAGTGCATGTTGTGTTAACTAATTGTGTGTGTGTATGTATTCTTGTATGTCTATTAAAAGGTATGTGTAAAGATCATCATCATCATCATTTTTTGACTCTGTTTGAAGTATTTGAATACCACGGCCCACATTTTTCATAAGCCTCTTTCATCCCTGACTGCTTTGTTATAGTTGTTATTATAATACAAGCTTCACCTTGAGTACAGAACACCCTTTCTCTGTTCCTTTCAGCATATCATTTTGAAATAAAAAAAAAAACTCCCTACGGATGTTATCAGTTGTATTAGATGGCTCAGTGAAATTGATCAACAAAACTGAATAATGTGAATTAACCGAAATGTTCATTTTACAGAAACTAACCTCATTTGTAAGAGGTTAGGAGTGACACAAAGCATTACCAATCAAATGGAGTTAAAATATGCCTGTTTATAGTCTGGTGGATTATTGATCATTATCTGACGATATCATTATCAGATGCTATAGTGTTACTACACAGCTCTGTCTGTTACATTATAACTGTACTGTTATCTGCAATGTTAACACTGGTCTTGTACCAAATGCAAGTGAACTTAGAGCCAGGTTCAGTGATTCAGAAGTTTTGTAAATTAATTCAGTTACTGGACTGTCTCTGTGTTGGACCAGTAGATTCTTAGACCCTGGTGGCTCAAAAAGACCAGTAGGCAAATGAGTATTCAGCATAGACTGGTGCTACTAGGCAGAATTTGTTGTATGAATATGCGTGTCATTTATTTGGCGTGCTGTACTCGTGTTTATAAATTTACTACACACATGCACGTGTGTACACACACACACACACACACACACACACACAGAGAAAGAGACACAGATAGTCTCTTTATACGTAATATCTTAATAAGACATATGGTAAAGAAGATGTAAACTGTTTTCTTATTCTGATTATCGACATATTGCTTACATAAGCTTGTTATATATTGATAGACTTATTATTGATAGGCAGCTCATCAGGGTTTTGCTTACGTCTGATTTTCAAATCCCTTCCCACTTGTTTTTCTTAAACATACTGGTAAGCTTTTCTAATCAGGATGTGTTGTAGACTGGGTTCCCATACTTAGATCGATCCATCTGGATCGACCTAACTCCATGGGGGTTCACGCTAAATTGCTATCAGCTCAAGAGGGAGCCGAGCATGCACGAAAGTTAATTACCCCCTAACAGCTTTTAGTAGGCATGATAGACATTTAAGCCAGTTAAGCTGACAGCAATTAAGTGAGACTCCCCAGGGAGATAGATCGATCCAAATATCTCTGGGAATGGTCCCGTAGACAGCATATATTTGCCTACTAGTAAATACAGCCCATCATTGTGTCTGTCTGTCTTTTTAATTTGTATATCCAGACTTTCTTTTAGATCCCTTGCATGGCTACGTGCTGTTGACAAGACAAAAAGCAATCAACTATAAAGTATATGTAAGCCTGTACTAAAACTAGTGTACATGTCAGAATAGTGAAAACCAGGTTTTACCTCCCGATCTTTTGTGAAGCCAGCACCTGGCTCTATCCTCAATGTCCAAGCCAGAGTTCAAAAAAACTTCTTGTTGGCCACCAGTACATATACCCATTGGAGGTAAGCAGGGAAATATATCCCACTCTGGATGTATGTGAACAGAAGTAACATTTTACTCTAAACTACTGTCCATCTGTTACCTGTGCACAGTTTAGGATAGATTGATGTGAACCAGAGTGGTTGTTTTACATTTTGGGGAGAACCAGTGTGAACATAGGTGCAAACTAGCTAAATTTCCTATATTGTGTATAGCTGGTGCGTGAACCATTTGCAATGAGCTTGGTACAACTTAAGTGTAAACTGGGCATATATTTCCCAGTATGGATTGTATACATCTGCTGCACTTACTAATTTCAACGAGCCTAGTTCAACTTGTCAGTGTGTGTAAACTGACCTTAGATTTCCCTGTATTGACTGTATACATCTGCTGCTTGGAATCACATCTGTGGTTGTTATATGCACATATCACCAGAATGGAATATTTGAAGACTTATGGCTAGGAAAAGACTGGAAGAGATGTAACCCACCAGAGAAGGGTGGAGTACAGATCTAGTGCCCTGAGGCGAGTTATGTCTGTGTTGGAATATGGTGAGTAGATGAAAGGGGGTGTAGGGGAGGCGAGGAGGGGGGGGGGGAAGAGAGAGAGAAAGAGTTAAAGCTACAAACAGCATTGCAGTCTGCGGTATTGAATTTGGCCTCTATAACTAAATGACATTAAAATCTATCTTGGGAGAGGTAGCATAAATATAGATGTTATTGTGTAGGATATTGACAGTTACAATAGTTAATGGGAAAAAGTGTATAGTTGCTTGTAGAAATAGGGAGAGTATTATAAACAAGAAAGGGGAGGGGTGAGATTACCAGTTACTATGTGATGATGTTGTTGGTGTATTCTGTGGAAAACAATGCCATTTAGACACCATATGTACAGACACATGATTAAAACATAATGTCTGCTGAATGATTGACAAGATTGTGGGTATAGGTCCACTAAGAGTTTAACATAGTTTATATGCTGTTATTAGTTATTAAGAGTCCTTTTATAGATTTACTTCTAAGATGTATTTATAAGATATTATTTCTTCATACAAAAATTATGATGGATTGTAGTGCCTGTATTTTGGCAGGTTTACATAGATTTCTGTTGCAGTGAACAAAAAAAAAGCAAGCATTGTAGAGAATTAAGTATGAACCACAGTCTTTGAATCCAGTTGACCACATGTGCTGCCATCTATACTTTTGTGTGCTAATAAGTACAGGCAACATTCTCTGAATCCTGAGGACCTAGATTGCATGACTGCTTGATAAACAGACCTAAGTCTGATGTTAAATGACATGTGCTGTCTGTTGAATAAAGGTTTTATGCATTCAGCTGTGCCCAGCATCATTTTACTTCATATTGTTTTTAGGCTTACTGTAAGAAGTAGATGGCTTGTATGCTCCCATTAATGCTTTTGCTTAGGAGTGAGCATATGGTAATTACTTAATTTATATATTCCAACAACATAGATTGATAACATTTCCCCAAAGATGTTTTATTAGTAGTAAATTATAGACGTGGATCCAAAAATTTTGATTAGATGTCTTTGGGCTCATTTATTCCCTTTGATGCTATCGGTCTACGTAGATCTATCCACCTTTGTGGGGAGTCTCACTGATTGCAATCAGTTTAACAGATTAACACACCTCCTCCTGGTGTTGAATAAAATATAGAAAAACTGGGGATTAAAGTAGTTGGAAATGAAAGGGGTATTTGTCTGTTAAACTGATTCCATTCAGCGAGAGTCTCCATAGAGTTAAAGCTATCTCCACAGACTGATAAGTTCAATGGAAATGGGCCCTTTATGTCAGAAAGAATATCATTATGAGTGTTTGAAAATAATAATTCTTTAAAAAGTAAATATTTCAGGTAGTCAAAATTTTCTGATAATTACTGCTTTTTGCAAGTAGGAGGCTTCATGAACTGTTACATGTATGTTCTGTTCCTGTCAGTACCTATCAGTGTGAGTAGTCACGATGTGTATGAGACAATATGGACAATTTAACTGATGATACTCTCTCCTAGATTCAGTGTTATTATTTATTTATTTATTTATTTATTTATTTATTTATTTATTTATTTATTATTATTTTTTTTTTTTATTTATACAATCATAACTCACATTGGTTTCAAAAACCTCATGTATTCCACTCTCCCAAGGGTTTTTCAAGATTTGAATTTTTTTCAAAAACAATCATTCACATGTGAACCAAGGTTGAACTCCCTTTAGCAGCTATTATTAGCAAACCTCAGCTGTAGGTAATATGTTGAATCAGTTTTGGTTGAGTCTAGCAAGTAATTATCATAAGTGCCTTTGTAAAACTTCTCATCTTGCGCCCTTAGCAACCTCAGAGATTGCGCTGCTATTGTTCCGTGGAGATAACTGTGTATTATAGAAAATGCTGGTATAAATATAGTATAGAATTGATAGCTGGGCAGATAGGAGGATGTTCCAGACATTTGGGAACACTGTAAAACTACTGAGCCAGTTTGTAATTGTAACTTTGTTAGATATGAATGTGAGAACCGCCCTGAGTTTCATGGTGCCAGGAATGACATATACCACCAATAGCATAGCAGACAGTCTTGAACAGTATTAAACCACTGAGTTAGTTTGTAATTGTTACTTTGTTAGATATGGACTGGAGAATAAAAACCCTGAGCTACATTGTACCAGTAGTGATATATATGTCAACAGAGACAGACATGTTATTGTATCTTCAGCCTGTAACTCTCC